CAGTGTTAGAGGATTGAAAAAGTAAAGAAATGACCTCAAAAACACATGAAAAAAGGAAATAAACCCTAAACTAACCAGAGATGGGATGAAATCTGACCATAGAGAGTGAGGAATGACCTGAAAAGGAGGCAAAATATGACAAACACGCGTGCATGATCTGCAAAACAACTGTGGGAGCAAAAAAAAACGTATCCACAATGACTCAATAACCAAAGCAAAGCTGTAGTTTCAGTCTTTAAGTCTGTCCTGAGAGGCTGAACTGTCTTGCAGTCTGTGCAAAAATGTACATATATTGGATTTTGGTGATATAGATAATTATCACCAGCTTTAATCCAAGAATACAGAGACCAACATTCACCTTATATCACATGGAAGCAGTTTTTGCTCTGGATAAGCACTCAAGTTAAAACCAGCCAGTGAAATCCCCTCAGTGTAACACAGAGGCTTCAGCACATTATGATTGTTGTGCTGTGGTGGCGGCAGAAAGCAGTGATCTCTGTGTGGTTGCCTCCAGCAGCTCCTTCCCCGTGAGAGAGACCAAACCATTCAACAACGTCGAAAGTTGCTTACTTCAAGAGGAAATATGCGGAGGAGGAGGATTTACACCGAGGCCTACGTGGATATTTTCAAAAAGTGCGTGTTCTTTTCTTCTTCTTTTGTTGTTTTCATGCCAGTGTGACTTGATTTTCTGTGCCTGAAAGACCTTAATACAACAGCTGAAACGTTTGGTGACTTCATAGCTGAACAGGCTCGCCAAATGTTTCTGGCTTATTACTTCTTTTCTACTGCCTCTTCCTTCTTTTGTCTTCTTTCTTTGCTTCTGTGCATTCTCGACATTCACAATTCTCTCCATCACTTTAACGGTTTCACTCTTTATTAGCTGGCCTTCATCACATCACATCCTTCAACTTTATTCTGGCATCCTATACAGTCTCCACTGTTTCTCTGCTTTGAATACCTAAAGTGTTCACTGTACCTTTAAAGGTTTATGCATTTCAGGCATGAATGCAGTTCTACAAAAAGAATATGTTACAAATAAAAGTCGTGCAATAAAAAATGATACCTAGGAATATATACAAGTATAATCAGGAATTGGGAAAATATTCTAGTTCCCTGTTCCAGCTCAGTGAACTGCAGCTATATATATATATATGTGTGTGTGTGTTAATTAATAATTAATTAAATTAATTAATAAATGACATCATTTAGCCAAAGTCACAATCATGGTGGTTATTTTTTTTCAGTCTATTTTTTAATCACTTAGAGGAAAAACACCCAAGGTTCACTTTTTGAGAAGCTAAAAAAATGTGAGATTTGTCCAATTTTTCTATGATAACGCACTTTTTTGCCCTTCTATTCCGGTCAATCATTTCCTGTCTCAGCTCAGAGTTTCACTTCATAATAAAAGCACCATATGTTGGAAGCGCTTTAAAGACTAGCTAAAGCTGCCATTGTTTGTAATGCAGTAAAAAACTACAGGATTATGTTTGAAAATAGCAGCATTAAACATTATAAAAGTATTTAAGGATGGTGCTCAAAATGTGCGTTCTCCCATTGCCTCCTGGAAAAAGCTATTTAGAAACTTTGTGGGCAACAGCCATCAGAAGCATTTTTTAGGAAGACTATCAAAGATTTGTTTAACAGAAATGTTCCATTTTTGAAATCTTCTCATTTAAGTTTGCTTGCTTTACAATTTTAAAGCACAACTGCAGTTTAATCACAAAAGGTGGACAAACTAAGCAAACTGGATGGAAACCCTTTTTCTACATGTCTACATAGATAATTGATTGTGTGTATTAGAGAGGTAAACTCAAACAATTTTACATAAAAAATACAATGGGATTAAATGAAGGCAGGAGAGGGAAAATATCTCCAGCTAACTTTATTTTAAATAGGTCAGTTATAAAATACATTATGTTACAAAGGTAAAGTTTGCTGTTTCAAACCACATTCAACCCCCTTTTTAATGCACGCTAAAATACCTTCAGTAATAATAATTAAAAAATATATTTTTTCTGATGTTTTTTGAAAATTCTCAGTATAAATTGTCAAAATAAAAAAAAATGTAAAGACACAATCTGATCTGCTGCCTTCACGTTTGCCACTTGCAGCACTTGATACTGCAGGAGGACCGGAGCTGCATCCTGAGGCTGTCCCTGGAGAAACTAAGGTTCCTGGAAGATCCCGAGGCCTACCTGAGGCGCTCCGTCCTCATCAACAACCTGCTGAGAAAAATCCACCATGAGGAGGAGGAGCTGGAGGCTGAGGAGGAGGAAGAAGAAGATGAAGTAGATGAAGAGGAAGAAGAGGAGGGAGTTATCGGGGATAGGGGGCAGCGGAGGCTGATGTACCCAGACAGGAAGAGAGTGAAGGTGCTGGTGACAGACTGCTGCTCCCCGGGCTTTGGCCTGGAGGAGCTGCAGCACTACCGGCTGGTGCCGTGTTACCCATCAGCTGGTTGCCTGTACAGCCTGGGTACCTGCCCGGGCCTCACCCCAAACCACCAGGTCCTCCTGTACAACCTGGATGACAATGGCTGACTCTCTGCTCCTCACCGCCAGGCCTCTTTTCAAAGCTGGGAACTGCAGCGTCGGTTCATGTCACAGGCATGTGGACTCGCACTGTTTGCTCCAACCAGCAGGAGGAAGGCTGCTGCTGCTGCTGCTGTTTTTCTCCCTGTTCGCTAAAAATGCTTTGAGGGGAATGTGTCGCAGGCTCTGTTTCGTGCATCAGCAGGACGTCGCCTCTTCTCGTCACCTTGCTGAGAAGCAGTGGTGGATTCAAGAATCTGAGAGACCATTTTCTTCTTCTGCCTCAGGAGTGTTGATATTAAACTCTGCAGCAGCATTACTGCTATTTACTGTTTGTGCAAATGTAAGAGACTTTAAGCAGGCAGCATTTTTTTTTAATTCTTTGCAGCTGTAGTATTATTGATTTTTATTGTTACTGTTGCTCATGTAAACTGTGAGCGCATTCAGGGATTTACAGACTGCTGGCTACTTTTGATGCACCTTGGCTTGCGTGGAGAATATTTGCTGATTTGCTTCTGTTATCTTTTTATGCTACTGTGTGATTTATGAAATATTCTGTGTAACATTCCCTGGATCGTGTGAATTCTAATGCTATGAAGAACTCAAGGCCCTCATTCCCCCGGGTGCGTTTACTGCCTGTGGGAAGACTGTTTTCTCTCTGTGGTCGATGTCCCGTGATTATGTTTTCATTTTGCAGCACTTTGCTGCCCCCTGCTGGTGGAAAAAAATTATCTCAAAGCATTTATTAGTAGTCTGTGTTCAAATAAGAAAACAGAGGAATGCTTACTTTAAACCTCATTCTGATTTAGCATTAATAGATGTTATATACAGATTATAACCCACTATAGATGTAAAGAGATTTATCAACGATTATAACATCTGCTGAAACATACAATATAGCAAACATTTAACACGTTTTCAAATGAGTTATAACTGTTGGCAAACACTATTATTACCATACCACCAACATGTAGTCTGCATAGTCTAAATATCCCAGATTATACATATATGTATAATAAAGAAAGATAATGCTAGTGGCAGTAAATACCTAAATATAAAAGTTTTTTTTCTTTTGCTATGTAAAAAGGAGGAAATATTTTTTTGTCAGTTCTATGAAGTCAAAATACTTTTTTTCTGATACCAAATATTGCTTTTGTGAATGCATTTCAGCCTCGTGGTGTTTTAATGCTGGATTTCAGAGACCAGAAGGCCTTTAACTTGATGTTGCATTCCATTTTTTTCTTACTATGGTTCCAGCACCAGTAGTGTTTTCACAGAGGACCGAGGTTTGCTAAAGTGGTCAGAAAATAGGTTATTTAACACGGCACATTGGTGCTTTATAAAGCTGACTTACTTGCTGTATGACAACAGCGATTAATTATCCATCCTTCTTCTGTGTCTTTTCGTGTGTTCAGTGTCTATCCAGGAGTTTTACTGATTTTTGCAATGTGCATCTTGATAACAATCACTTAAATGGAAAAATAAAGGAAAATAAGGTAAAACAACAATGACAAACTAAAGGCAACTATTAAAGAAAAGCTTGATATTTTAAATCAAGAATTTATATTTTGATGAATATGAATAGTCTGTATTTAAGAAACTATTTTGAAAAAGGGCCGTTAAACTTTTTTCATGTGATTGATTATCAAATAAAGTATGTAATGTGACATTTTTGTTTCATTTTTTAATATTTCGACCTCTCTATGAATAAAGCGCGGTCACGTCACGCCATGACGTTTTCAGTTCCGTTGAATGTTGTGCGTGCGCGCCGGAACCACCGTTGCTTTCAAGTGCTCCTAACAAAGACAGACTTTACAACCTCACATCAGCAACCGTCACCTCTGCAGAGAGTTTGTAACAGAACATAATTACGTCATTTGATAAAGCACAACTTTTAAATATTACGGTCTGTAAACTAGAACTTTACACAATTTAATTTCAAGCCTTTATGAACTGGATAGCAGTTACGTTTCTGCACCCACAAAGCAATGACTGAGTTATAAACGCATATTTCACTTTAAGATATTTTTTACATAATTATTAAATACACAAACTAAATATGATCCAGTATTTCTAGACTTTAAAAAGAAAAAAACATCTATTGTGATATATGTGTAGCCTCTGTTTGACTGATCGTGGTCTCCTTTTCTTCTTGGCAGATTCCCAGCGCTTTGCTTTATTTAAAAATGTATTTTATTATAGCCACTGATATATCACACTTTTCAGTACACACGTGGCAATTTACACCCGGTAAACGGTCAAATTAAACGGTAAAATTCTAACTGCTCATTGTCAATCAACGTCCTGATTACTGCATCTAAGGCGATCTAAGCGGCTTCCTGTTACTTCAGTGGCTGTGCGACCTCGACTTTGGTCCTAAATCTCTGTACGTTCTGAAGTTGACTGGGGAAAGAATTGTGACATTTCATGCAGCACCTGAAGGCAACGGGGAAGGCGCGTTCCACGGACCTCTCGTGTATCTGACAGTTGCACATAGCGGAACGTTTATCGCATCCAGGCTCAGACAAACGGCAGGAGCCCTCCGGTTCTTTATATCCGATACGGTTCAACTGAAAACGGAATTTCTTATTTTAAAACGACTCAAGTTGTTGTCATATTTTTCTACCGTTTGCAAATGCTTCAAGGGTTCACCTTTGAGTGCCGCTCTGCCATAATGTACGGGTTAGCTCGCTAACGTTAGCCGGGAGCTAGCATCCACAGTTCGGAGAAAGTAACGGAGTACGCGTTTCTTCGGCTACTTCGGAGTCGTCAGAGGGAATTAAAACATGGAGAAAATGAAAGAGCTATGCCACTGCCTCCAGGATCCTCACCTTGTCGCCCGCTTTCAGAACATTTGCGGGGTACGGGGCACGTTTACGACCACCAGCAGCAGCAAGGTAGCGGACCGGGCTCACTCGCACAACAACGGCGCTTGTCATCATCGCGTCGCCGGAGAAAACTTGTCCAATGTGGGAGCTGGGGAAGGAGAGAAAATGCAAACGGCGTCAGCGAAGCTTCGGAGAAGGATTGCGGACTCTAACGTTGCTAAAAATTTTAAAGATGAAGGTGAAACCCCGTCACAGAACGGGACAGCGGTGTCTGCGGCGACCGCCGGGGGAGAGAGGGTTGGTGTGGGCAGCAGCCTCGCGGGACCGGGCGTCCGCAGCGGGTCCGCGCAAGATTTATCCCGGGCAGCCAATTGTGAGGAGAGCCAGGTCGGAGGAATCTTGGGTCCCCCAGGAAGCAGCAAGGTAAAGCCACTCCGCAAGAATTCTCTAACGGGCGACGGCGGGCAGGAGTTCCTGATCGACAACCGCTTCTTGTACTATCTCTTCACTTTCGGAACCGAGCTGGGAAACGAGACTTTCTACATCATTTTCTTCCCATTCATAACGTGGAACGTGGAAGCCTTCGTCAGCAGGCGACTGATCATGGTGTGGGTCTGGGTCATGTACCTGGGACAGTGTACCAAGGATGTGCTCGGCTGGTCCCGACCGGCCTCACCGCCTGTGGTCAAAGTGGAGGTGTTTTACAACTCCGAGTACAGCATGCCGTCCACGCACGCCATGTCCGGCACAGCCATCCCCTTCGCCCTGTACTTCATGACCTACGGCCGTTGGGAGGTAAAGTCCCTTTTCACACACACAAACTGGATGTCACGCCGTTGGATATAAGAGAAGTTGTTTGGAGCCACTTCCTCTTAATTTCAGTGAAAAAGACGAAGGAAGTTGGCTTTGTCATATTTTAAAATATTTTGACAGCATATTTTCCTTATACGCAAGTGAAATCGTTAGGGTTCATTTGAGAGCACAGGAAACGCAGGTGGAGTGACAGAAACTCTGCCACGTGGGTAAAATCGAATCTTCACCCCTCATTTAATGTACTCTGTTGCAACCGTGGAAACTGCACGCACACCAGCTGCAGACACGACTCTTTACAGGCGTAATATATCTAATATTTTATTAAAAGGAGTTTTGTGTCAAAAGAAGATGAAAAAACAATTTCATTTCTGTAGCTTTTGTTAAATTATACAACATATCTGCTTATTACTTGATTACCAACATTTAATTTTTTTAATTATATACATTCAAATTTTTTATATACTGTTTATTAATATATTTTTATTTGCACTACAGTGCAACAGCTTTACTCAAATCTAAACTATTATTAATTACTTGCTTTCCCTCCAGAAACTCCCAGTTCCTCCCACAGTCCAAACACATGCAGGCAGTGGGGTTGTATATTTTGTCTCTCTGTGTTAGCCCTGTGACAAACTGCCAAACTATCCAGGGTGTACCCTGCCTGTTGCCTCAGCAGGGATCGGATAAACTTGGATAAGCAGAAGAAAATGGATTTATGTAGTATTTAAAGCAGCAAAGTGTTTCACAAACTAAGAATTTACAATGAAGACACTGGATCATATCATATTCTAAGTTGTGAGATCATGGCAAAATAGCAGAGCTTCAGATACTCCCGCTGGCATTTTGTTTTTTACCACATACGTACAAATACCGATGTGTATGTAATGAGCCCAAATTTGTGGATTTATTCCATTAGTTGGGTCCAAGTTTAGGAAATAGTGAAAATTGTCCACAGTTAAGTTTAACCTGCAAAACCAGCAATTCAGCTGAAACTGAGACGCAGCATGCTCATATTTTAGCAAATTGTCAATTATAAGATAGGCGTACCCTAAAGTATACAGCGCTTAGTTCCTTTTGACTCGAATGGGCACCATAATTGTCAAAATGGACATAATATTGTACTCCGTAAGAACTAAAACTAGCAGTGGAGCTCATAAACACATCAAGAATATGTTTACTAAAGGTCTAGATCATGAGCGTTGAAAGCCATCTCCCCATAGATTTCTGTTCAATCAGATTTCTTTTTACTACCACAAAGCCCCCACCTGTCTAACACATTGAATGCATGTTGAAGGCACTTTGCCATTAGGGCTGCTCGATTATGGCAAAAATGATAATCACGATTATTTTCACTGAAATTGAGATCACGATTATTTGACGATATTTATTTCGTCCGCCAGAGCTTATATTATTTTTTTACATGCTGTAGTGCCATTTGTGGGAGCATTTCAAGTTGCTATACATCAATACAACTGTTATAGCCCATATTTTAATAATGTGTATGCATTAAGTCCATAGTAACTACATTAATTGCAAAAAAGTGCAATAAACTACAAAAAAATTGAAAATCGTTTTTGTTTTTACATATATTTCTACTTGGAGAAATTTAAGAGGTTTATCCCTCAAAACTTTAAATACAAAAAAGTTGCAAAAAATAGTTTACAACAACAGGAAATTTATTTTGAGTGTCTTCATAGTTTTATTTTTGGAGATACAGCAATTTTTATATACTGCAGGAAAAACAAAAAAACAATCCTTATGATGCAAATTTGCAAAGAATGTGCATGTGCATCAAAATAAACTATTTCCAGCAGTGCAATTCGAGTTCTAAGGCCTACAAGTAAAAAACTAAATTTTCCGCAAAAGTTCACGTTGATGTCTTTTTCAATGTGGGAAGTGTTAAGAACAGCTGATCGGATCGGCAAAGCGTGTTTCTGGAATATTATGTTTTTGTTCCTGCAAGCTCTTTTTATGCAATTTTTGCAAAGCTATATGTGGAAGGAAACCGTGACCGAGGACAAGCTGATGGCATAAGAAGTAAGTACAACTCCTCTGGTTTCATATGGAAAAAAATTTATTGTGCTAGCTTAGTGTTCAGGTTCTACAGGGATTTAAAAATAGTTACACAAAACGAGCATGCTGCTCTGACCGGCTTTAAAGGTTTAACAATAACAATGTATTGAATAATGACTTTAAAAAATAATATAAAATAGTGTGCAAATACTGATAACAGTGCAAATGTTTGCAATATAAGAAATAAATGAAAAATGTGAACTTTGCAGTGTTGCTCTGTGGTGCAGCTACGACACCATAGCAAAGTTTACACACTGTGTCTACTTGATCCACGTCTGACTCCGCGAACCCATAATGTTTCCACACCACTTAAGTTTTTTTTTTTTACCTCTCTTTTCAACCAATGGCAGTCCACTCCTCTCCAAATAACTTCTGCTTAGCTTTCCGAGCTTCCCTCGGGTCCTCTTAATTGTTGTGACGCGTGTTCGAAATGCAGAGCAGTGCGCTTGATTTGCCACATGGAGCAGCGCGAGAGTAAAGCATGAGGGAGGGGCTAATAATCGGCTCAGTCATTTTTAATGATCGTTGAAAGCCCAGATCGTAATCGTGATTAAAATTCGATTAATTGAGCAGCCCTATTTGCCATTAGCTTCACTTTCTAGACCTGGGAGCTATGTCCTTATTTTATACATGTCTGTAATTTGATGTCAGACCTATGATCCTCCATGTAATCACCTGACCATGCACCCTTTTGCTATTCGCAACCCATTTGACCACGTGGCAGTCTTTTCTACAATGTCACTGAGACTTTGCCCTCTGAAGTCAGTCTTCTGAAGTGCCATCATTAACAATTAATGAGCTGTTGGGTCAGTGGATATAGTGACAGCAGCTGTGGGGTGACTATGGAAGCTGCATGAAGACAAAAGCTGACTCTTGACTGGGTAATTTACTGCATGAAATCATGCTTGCTATAGTTACAGCAAAGACTGAAAGCCTGACTACAATTGACTGCCCTATGGAGGAGAACACTCCAAACACAGCTAAAAAGAAAGCCCAGAAAGCCCATTACCAGTTTTGATGACGTGATATTTGTTAATTTTCTCTGATATTACTCTGCTGGTTGGATAAAATAAGCAGCTAATGTTTTAGAATTGCCCATCTTGGATTTTGGGAAATTCTGTGACTGTTAATAGTCTTTTAACAATTCTGTGACTTTGGAATAATCGTTTTAATACTTAAATGATTATTGCAAAAGTGAGGAAGTTGGCAAAAGGTAACGTGATAATGTAAGTCCCTTGTCAGCAGCATCAGTTATGCAGATCAGTAGTTACACAACTGATGATAATTAGCTGAAAGCCCATATTCAGCTTTCTGTTTTTTGGCATTGTTAAAATTTTAAAAACATTTTAAAATGCTCCAAAATCATTCGAATAACATTAATGCTGAAATTCTGTTTTAACAAGCCATTTCTGTTATTGTTTCCTTCATCTCCTCCTATTCAGCCTGGAGGAACAACACCACATTCTGTCCAGTCTGTAAAAAAACAAAACAAAACCTCAGTCTGTGAGTCCACTTCTGTTGTCTTACTGTGCATCCACACAGTGAGGAACATGCTCGACAAGCTGTGGGACGACTGTTTGATTCATTTAAAAAAAAGAGAAAAGACACTCGACAAGATTTTAGCAGGCATTTTTGTTAGCGACAGAAACTTTTCTAATTTCTACTTTTTTAAACTTTTTTTTATGGTTCTCCGATAAATATGAAAAAGTGTAACCTGAAAGTCAAGTGCAATTACCACTGAGCAATTATCTAATGAGCCGATCAACAAAACAAGACTAAAGAATCCTTTGAACAGCTGATTAATCTCTGAATGATATATCTATAGCTGCTGCTGATTTTCTATAAGTATACTAGTTGTTGTTGTTCTCAAATGATTAACTATTAACATAGGACATAAAGGTGAAATGACAGGATGAAGTACATTTATCTGAAGTGGTTCTTGCTAAAGACATCTGCCTATTCCAGTGAACAGGATATGATAGGTTGATTTGCATAGCCTGCTTTTTGATTACCGAGAGCTGTTTTTTGCTGACAGTGGTTATCTACATGTTACAAAGATGAGCTCTTCTGTTTTATTAATATAAACAAAAATACCAGTGTATATGAAAAACTCTCACCATTAGCTCTGCTGCACACTATATTTACCAAGGTGAAATGACAGGATGAAGTACATTTATCTGAAGTGGTTCTTGCTGATTGCAGGACTGCTTATCTACATTTAACTGCATGTCTAAGGCAGTATTGCTCAAGGGAACTGCTCTGCACGGACTCGTCACTAAATCCTACTCTGGCTGTGGTCAGTGAGGATTTTCTTTGTCATATGTGACGCTAAACTGAAAGTTTTGGTTTGGACTGTAGGTTAAAAAATCTGAAGATGTGACCTGAAAAACTTTTTGCTGACATTTTATAGATGAAATAATTGAGAAAATAATCAGCAGCCTAACTGATAATGAAAATAATCATTAACCACAAACCTTGGACAGTATATTCTGTGGTGTGGGTCATTTACAGAGAGAAATGTGAAGATTTGTAAAGTGAAATAGGTGGGATTGGGATTGCTGTCTTTTGAGGTTGAAATCACAGCAGAGTTAGTACACTCAGCCTCTCTGTCTGAGCCGGAGCAGGAGAGCTGGCCCCTTGACCTTCCAGTGAACAACTGAGATAAGACTGATTTAGTGTCTGGGACTCTGCTTTTATCTTTATTGTCACTACAGCTCTCTTTGTGTTTGACAGCCTAAATTTGAAACGTGTAAGAAGTTTGAAAAACTTCTTTCACACTACACGCTCTGAACAAGCCAAACTCTATTCAGCACCAAACAATACAAACCGCTGACTCGCGTGTGTGCAACACCAGATAAGATGTTGACCTCTGTCTCACTTTTTGAATCAGATTCATGTATTTGTTTTCT